CCATGCCGCAATCCCTTCTCCTCCATTCTCCTCTATTCTCCTCTCGGGATCTTGGGCACACATGTGCCCAGCGTGAGTTTAAGCCACCGAGTCCAGGACTCAAACTGCAGTCGACTACATGGGAGTCCAGCAACACAGCCATTACGCCAACTGCTGGTCCCAAAATACATAACTCTTAGAAAAAAAAAAAGAATTTAGAACCAGGCTTTTCAACTTTATTACATAAGTCTTCGAATAAATAAATAAATAAATAGTAAGGTCTTAGAGTGGCGGCGTATCTCAAGGAAAATGATTATTATCTATGAAAACCCTAAAGCTCCTAACAAGATTCAGAGGGAAGGGAAAAAAGGGCAACATAAATATTTTCAAGACACATTCTCCTCTAACACTTTGCCAAATCTATTACTTCTATACCTAAGTTACTAGGGATAGAATGCTTTGAAAGTTATAGCTTTATACCAATCTTACTAAACATAGCCATAACAATGTCTTACATTAGATACACAGTCTTTAGAAAGCTTCCAAGATTATTAAATCAACATAATCTGGGAGGTGGAGGAGGGGGCATTTTACAGAAGAAACAGTAAGATAAGTATTGTTACGTAACTTGCCTATACTCACTTGGTCCTCTAGTTAGGCAAACACAGGACTATACTCCAGGTATGATTTTGAGACTAATGGCTCTCTATATAACTGCTGGTGTTTTTATTTTATCTTTGGAATTACCACACACAAAAAAGAAACTCTTTGGCTCAGCTGTGGTGGCACATGCTGCTATGCTGCTGTGTTCTACAGGCTGGAACCACGGTCTGATTTCTGGTCCAACCTAAAGGATCACTATAGTGATGTCCATCTGTAATCCCACTGAACTGGGGACGTTGAGGCTAGAGGATCTCAAGCTTGAGGCTGGCCTGGGCGACACAGCAAAGAATGGGTATGGTGCTATGTACCTGTTGTCCCAGCTGAGAGGCTGAAACAGGGGGATCTAAAAGACCCTATCTTTAAAAAAAAAAAGAAAAAAAGAAAAAAGAAAAATGAAACAAATGTAATGCCCTTCTTACCTACTTCAGAAGTATAAAATATATTTCGTGAGATTTTTCTTTGCTACCACAAAATTTCCAGTTCTATTCCAACCCCCACCCCCCCTTTTTTGGTAGTTTTTGCTATATGGCATGTATGCTCTCCAGGGACAGAAAAAGAGAAAGAGAGAACAAGAAATCACCACCTCCATCCCCTGGAGAATGGCTGTACTACAATCCTTCCCTCTCCCCCACCCCCCGAGTCTTCTGAGATTTTGGCAGGCAGATACCTGCACCTGGTGTGATTTTCAAACTGCCAGGTCTGGGACTTGAACTGCACGGGAAGCCCCCCCCCCCCCCGCTTCTTTTAATTTTTTTTGAAAGGGATTTTTTTAGAAATGAGTTATTATTTGACATCAAATAAAAAAATGGTAGCAATATTTACTGTGGGCAAAGGTATTAAACACATCTCAAAATAATCTCCTTAGCCCACTAGGAAGTTCTATGTGAATTACTGTGCAAGTTTATTAAATCACTATTGTTTTTATCTAAAAGTATTATTTTATTTAACTTTTTTTATTTTAATTTGATCAGAGAGAGACAGAGTGAGAGAGAGAAAGGAAAAGTGAGAAAGCAAGCCACCTGGTCTGGGGCTCAAACCATGGTTGGCTACGTGTGAGTCCAGGGCCCTTAACCACCATGCCATCTGCTGGCCCTGTGTGTTTTTTTTTTAGAATGATTTTACATAACTTTATTTATTTGTTTGTTTTTAATTTAACCAAAGAAGGAGAGAGAGAGAGAGTGAGAAAAAGTGAGAAAGGAAGCTGCCAGCTCCAGGACTCAAACCATAGTCGACTATGTGGGAGTCCAGTGCCCTTAAACACCACGTCACCTACTGCTCCTCCCCACCTTTTTAGAAAGTCTTTTGCTATAGAGTGCGTGCACTCACTGGAAAGACAGAAACAGCAAGACAGTAAGTGAGAAATCACCCCCCAGGGAGGATTGCCATGCTGCAATCCCTTCTCCTCTGTTTTCCTCTTGGGATTTTGGGCATCCATGCTCAGATGTCTGGTATGAGTTTTAAGCCACCAGGTCCAGGCCTCGAACCACGGTTTACTGCGTGGGAGTCCAGTGATGTAACCATTATGCCAATCACTGGTCCCAAAAGTCACTACTATATATACATTGATAGTAATTACATTTATAGTAAATATATAGTAAATACATTTCATCTCACTGGAATCTGTATAAAGACTGACTGGCAGTCTCTGAAGAGCCGAGTAGAGAATGAAAAGGTGCCCTTGCGTTTGGCTCACACTCAGGACTGCTTTCCCTCCTCTCGTTCTCAGTATTTGGCACACGCTGTGAAGCAAACAGCAGGCATTCACTAAATGCTGACTGGCTGTTATTCAGTGTCAAGTTCTGACTGTATCATCAAGGTATGTGACAGTGAGACGGCTTCTCCTTATCAGCTTGCTTTGGTATCTTCTACAGAACAGGTGTGCATAGGGAGAGAACGTGCAGTTGTCCGTGGTCCATAACTGTTTAAGTCAAAGTCCAGTAGTCTGGATGAGGAGTTTCCTGGTAGGGTTTTCTTCATCTAAGTATTCAAAGCTAAAACCCAATGGATGTATCTAGCCCTCAGATGTCTGGCTTGCTGAGCCTTACTGATTATTTTTAATAAATATGAATTGCCAAGATTTAAAAATACAAATTTTAGCGACCAGCAGTTGGCGTAATGGCTATGTTGCTGGACTCCCATGTAGTCAGTTGACTGCGGTTCGAGTCCCAGACCTGGTGACTTAAACTCACACCAGGTGCATGTGCGTGCATGCCCAAGATTCCTAGAGGAGAATGGAGGAGAAGGGATTGTGGTGTGACCATCCCCCCTGGGGGGGTGATTTCTCGCTTTCTGTCTCTCTGTCTCTCTGGCAAGCGCACACACTGTATAGCAAAAACCTCTCCACCCCCCAAAAACTACGACAAAAAAACCACTAGATTTTATATATAAAATAAGTGCCAAGTATTCCTGAAGCAAGGCTGAAGATTAGGGCTGAAAATAAGATGAGCTGAAAAACTGTTCAAAGAGCAGTTACACTATCACATGTGGCAAGGAAACTGTCCTTTTCCTACATAAGCAGAGGCCTGGGGGTTCCAACTGGATTGAACTTAAAAAGGTTTATATCAGGGACATGAAGCACAGTGGTGGGGTGAAAGCTTTTAATTAAGTGTGCAGCACTTATCCACTGCACAACGGGCCAGTTCCCCATTCTCTCTTCATACAGAAATGGAAAAGACTCCAGAGAACAGTCTGGGAAGGAGGGGGGAATTACCCACTTCCTATCTTAAAAGTCACCTTGACTTAATGAAAAGCTTTTAAGATCAGGTAAAAGACACAATTTAACCTGAAGATTATTTCTCAGTTAATCATTTGAGGAGTTAGTGGGATAGGAGACTTAATCCAGAACTGCCTCCAGTGCTAGAGCATCACTCTCAGATCCGGCAGACTACTGCTGTCCTATCTGTGTGTGTGTGTGTGTGTGTGTGTGTGTGTGTGTGTGGTCTTAAAAAAACAGCTTTGAAAATTCTTATTTATTATATTAATGTGACCAGAGAGGAACAGAGCAAGAGAGAGAGAGAGTGAGAGAGAAAGCAAGTCGTCAGATCCGGGGCTCAAACTGTGGTCAGCCATGTGGGAGTCCAGCGTCCTTTACCACCATGCCACCTGCCAGTCCCCCATCTGTGTTTCAGAGGTCAGCTGCTTCACTTATGCTTTCCAAATTCCAGAAGGGGAAAAGTACTTTTGTAGCTTCTTTAGGTAACCAGACCACAGCAACTGGATAGTTACACCAAAAGTAGGCCCTAGTAGGTTTTGAAAGGCAGATATTTGGTAACAGTTTTGTTAATTCAGCAATAGGCAAAACCACAAATGTTCATATAAATTCTGAGCATTAGACATGTTTCGTGTAATACGCTTGGCACAGTCCTCTATTATTTTCCTAATGACTGCTTTCCAGCTTATGCCATTTATCACGTGGAGTAGATGGCTGTGTTGAGCTACCCTGGGTATAAGAAAAGAGACATTTTTCTACTGGCAGGTAACACTATTATCAAGAATGGAGAAGATTGATCCAGGCTGGTTGAAAGCTCAGATGGCTTAAATTCAAATTTACTGAAAGCTGCAAGCTTTACTAACACTTCTAGAGAAAATGCAGAAATATTTCTTCTTAGTTTCTTCGATATTTGGGGTCACCAAAACCTACCTGTCTGTCAACAGAGAAAGCCTCTCTTTAGGTAATATGACAGGCAGGCCAAAGTAAAGGAAGAGGCCCGTATGACTGTTATAAGAATAACAAACAGAAACGAGAAGATGGATGATAAAGGAAAAGCATGGGGAATAAGGTAAAAACATTCTAGGTGTGAGATAGAGGAAAGAAATAAAGGACATAAAGAAGATCTAAGAGATCTTTTTCTTGGGAGGAAAAGCAACATTTATGATAGATAAAGTTATGTATAAGGGATATAGTTAAATCTGACTTCTAATTTTATTTTTTCTTAGAGAGAGATTTTGGCTATAGGGCATGTGTGCTGGCCAGAGAGAGAGAGAGAGAGAAAATGAGACAGAAGGTGAGAAATCACCCTGTAGGGGGGATGGCCACACCACAAGCCCTTCTCATCCATTCTCCTCTCAGGATTTTGGGCATGCACGCATATGTGCTTCACATGATTTTCAAGCTGCCAGGTCTGGGACTTGAACCATGGTCAGTCATGTGGGAGTCCAGCAATGTAACACAATATACTGGTCCCTGGCTTCTAATTTTCATTTAAAAATTTCCTTTGGTCACTTTTCTGATGAATTGCTTATTATGGTAAAAGAGAAACATCTCCTTCTATTGTTACAGAGCTGTCCTCATAGGGCACAGCATGCCAAAGGTCAACAGAGCCAACAATAGCAGCAGGTTCATACAAGGAGAAACTCACCTGCTTCTGGATCTGCAGGAATTCTCCACATGTAAAGGTTGAAGTCATCTGAGCCTGAAAGGATATACTGTTGGGGCAAAAAAACACATACAAAAAAATCACATAATATATAATAATAAATACAATGCATAAAATATAATAAACATGTATCGATATCAATTTATAATCTATTTGTATATAGAATCTAAAAAAAAAAAGAAAAGAAAAAGAAACAGATAGGAGCCAGTAGGTAGCACTGGATTTCCACATGGCCAATTTGATTTTGAGATCCCATATGTGCATGTGTGCCCAAAATCCCCGGAAGAGAATGGAAAAGGGACTGCACGTTTCCCCTCTCTGTCTCTCTGTTACTCTCTGGCAAGTGTACAAGCCCTATGATAAAAACCTAAAAAAAAAAAACAAAGATAAACAGATAAATTAACATATTTATAAGGTAATGCAAAGAAAACACCCTCTTAAAAATTCCTGCAAATCACAGGGCCAGCAAGTGGCATGGTGGTTAAAGGTGTTGCATTCCTACATGGCCGACTGTGGTTCAAGTCCTGGACCTGGTGGCTTACTTTCTTGCTTTCCCTTTCTCTCTCTCTGGTCAAATTAAAAAACAAAACAAAACAAAATGACAATAATGAATGGAAATAAATAAATCATTCTTTTAAAAAAATAATTATTTAACTTTATTTATTTTAATTTGACAGCGGGGGACAGAGAGAGAGAGAGAGAGAAAGTGAGAAAATAAGTCACCAGGTCCAGGACTTGAACAGCAGTTGGCCACGTGGAAGCCCTGCACCCCATTACCTGCTGGTCCCCAATAAATCTTTAAAAAAAAAAAAAGAAAAGAAAAAAAATTCCTGCAAATCAAAAGTCATTTACTATTTAAAACTCAGCAACAGCAAAAAATTCAAAATGAGCAAGTGATTTGAACAGATTTCTCCAAAGCGGATATACAAATGGCCTATAAACCTAAGAAAGGGTGCTCAACATCACTAATAATTGGTCAAATTCAATCAAAACCACAATGAAATTCCCATTCGCACCTTTTATTATAAAGCAAAAACAAAAAAGCCCACAGGTAACAAGTACTGGCGAGTATGTGGAGGAAGTGGAGCCTTGCATACACTGCTAGCAGGAACACATAAGGTGCACCTACTATGGAAAGCAATAAGGCAACTAACTCATGGAAAAGCTAAACACAGAACTACTGCAAGATCCAGCAATTTCCATCCTAGGTATATATAATCCAAGAATTAAAGCACTGACATTAACAGATAGCTGTAAGCCCACGTCCACAGCGGCATTTTCACAATAATCAAAAGATGGAAGCAAACTGGTGCGACCAGCAGTAAGTGTAATGGCTGTGTCGCTGGACTTCCATGTAGTCGACCGCGGTTGAGTCCCAGACCCAGTGGCTTAAAACTCACGCCGGGCACGTGTGCATGTGTGCTCAAAATCCCAAAAGGAGAATGGAGGAGAAGGGATTGCGGTGTGGCCATCCCCCCTGGGGGGTGATTTCTCGCTTTCTGTCTCTCTGTCTGTCTGGCGAGCACATGCACCCTATAGCAAAAACCTCTCCAAAAAAAAAAAAAGATGGAAGCAAACCAAGTTTACATTGATGAATGTATAAACATATAATATACATATAATATTATTCCCTCTATCAAGGAAAGAAATTATTTTTTAAAGAATTATTTAATTTCACTTATTTATTCATTTATTTTAATTTGACCAGAGAGACAGACAGAGAGAAAAAGAGAGAGAGAGAGGAAGTGAGAAAGCAAGCCACCAGGTCCGGGTCTCGAACCATGGCTGGTCATGTGGGAGTGTCTAGCACCTTAATCACCACACTACCTGCTGGTTCCCTAAAAGGGAAGAAATTCTATATGCCACTCAAAAGACAAATATTGTATGATTCCACTTATATAAGGTACTTAGAGGAGTGAAATTTATAGAAGCAGTAGAATTGTGATTGCCAGGGGTTGGAGGGAGGGAATTAATGGGGAGCCAGTTTTTAGTCGGTATAAAGTTTGAGTTTGAAATGATGAGAAAGTTCTGGAGACAGATGGTGATGGCTGCAAAATAATGTGAGTATACTTAATGCCACTGAACTGTGTATTTTTAAATGGTTAAAATGGTAAATACCATGTATATTTACCACAAATATTTTTAGTGTTTTTTACTTTTTTTTTTTTTTGCTAGAGGGTGCATGAGAGAGACAGCGCGCACGCAAGAGAGAAAGTAAGAAAGCACTCCCCAGGGAGGATGGACATGACATAATCCCTTTTCTGACATTCTCTTCTCAGGATTTTGGGCACACATGCACACATACCCGGCCTGTTTTACAAGGCGCCAGGTCCAGGACTTGAACTGTGCAGTCAGCCATGTGGGACCCGGCTGGCTTAACCTCCATACCACCAGGCTGGCCCACCACACATTATTTTTTAAATTTAATACAGAAAATAAAATCTAGGCGTTTCCCAGTGATCTTTTATGCAAGGTCACGCATCCTGAACATCCCCGCTGCCAGCTGACATCTTTGAGCAGGAAGCCACTGCCAATCCAGCTGTGAGTTCATGCCAGGGGCATAAGCAATCCCCGTTTATGTGGCAGCTTCAAACTGCTTGATCTAAAAAAGACAGGACACTATGCCAGAACGATCCTCATTTAGATTCATAAAAGCTTATTTAACATTGTCTAACAGCAACAAGTGAGCAATTCTGAAAGCTTATTATTTCCAAAAATTAACAGAAGTATTTTATTTTAAGTTAAGGTCAGAATTACTTCCTGCCTTTTAGTCCCATCTGCTTATTTCCCTAGAAAGAACTTCATATTTGAAAACAGTACTGAGGCAATCTATGGTCTGGTGGTTAAGGAGGCTAGGTTTCATATGGCCAACCACATAGTTCAAGTCCTGGACCTGGTGGCTTGAGAAACCCAGTGGGCGCATGTGCATGCATGACCGAAAATCCAGAAAGGAGGGAGATAATGGAGGAGAAGGGATTGTGGTATGACCAGTCCCTGTGGGGGAGCTATTTTCCTCCTTCCTTCTCTTTTACTCTCTTTGTCTCTCTCCAGCAAGAGCACATGCCATCTGGCAAACTAAAACAAAACAAAACAAAACAAAACAAAACACTGAACAATTCCAAAACAGTTTAAGTGTAAAACACACACACACACACACACACACGCACAAATATTTACATAAACATTTTACTAAATACTTTGTATTTAGTTAAAAAAAAATAAGTATCATTTATATTATCATTTAAAAAATCAATTTACTAGCCTTCAAAAAGGCTAGTAAACAGAAACATAAGAAAAGAGGCAAAGGCAGGTAGGTTCACAGATGATGAAAATTCAGGGCCAGCAGGTGGCGTGGAGGTTAAGGGCGCTGGATTCCCACATGGCTGATCGCAGTTCGAGTCCTGGACCCAGCGGCTTGCTTTCTTGCTATCCCTTTCTCTCTCTCTGCAGTCAAATTGAAAAATAACAATAACAAATAGAATTAAATAAATAAATAATTTTTTAAAAAAGATGATGAAAATGTTATCCACGGAAGTTGAGTTCAAGGCACAGTAGAAAATGCAGTAGACTACATTTGCTTATCTGCAAAATGAGAGAACTGGGCTGGTTGCTCTCTGAGGCTCATTTTATTTATAGGATTTGTATGATTGCTCTGTGAAAGAATGGTGGAAGCCAAATCACACCTGATAATCCCTAAATTGCCACCCCAAGAGACATGACATATTACATTCAAATTAAAGTTTCCTTAATGGGCCAGTCCTGTAGCCTAGTGGTTAAGGGAACTGGATCCCACATGACTGACTGCAGCTGGCCCTAGCAGCTTGAAAAACACACCAGGCACACGTGCATGCCCAAGATCTCCAAGATGGAGAAATGGATGAGAAAGGATTATAGCACAATCACACTCCACTGGGGGGGGGGTGCTTTCTTCTTCCCTCTCTCCTTGTCTAATAACAACAACAAACAAATTCCTTAACAAAATAATGTAATTTTACAAATGGTCAATAAGCACACGAAAAGATGTTCAATATCACAAATCATTAAAGAAATGCAAACAAAAACAATGAGATATAATTTCAGACTCAATAGGATACCCCCATTCTTCAAAAAAAAAAAAAAAAAGAAAAAAAAGAAAAAAATTCCTCAAAAAATTAAAAATAGAATTACTATTAAGGAAAACAATATAGTCACTCATAAAAAAAAAAAATAGGGACCAGCAGATGGCATAATGGTTACATCACTGGACTCCCACATAGTTGACTGCAGTTTGAGTCTTGGACCCAGTGTCTTAAAACTCATACCGGGCACATATGCATGTGTGCCCAAAATTCCGAGGAGAAGGGACCATCTTCCAAGGGGGTGATTTCTCGCTTTCTCTCTGTCTCTTCGGCGAATGCACACGCCCTTTGGCAAAAACCTTAAAAAAAAAATTAAAAAGACTTTCCTTATGAACCAACAATCCCATTTCTGGGCATATATCTAAAAGAATAAAAAGTAGGAGGTTTTTGGTGTGTGTGTGTTGTAACATTTATTTACTTATCTAATTATCTGCTGTGATTTTCAAGTCACTGGGTCTAGGACTCAAACCACAGTCAGCATGTGGGAATCCAGTGCCTTAAGCACCATGCCACCTGCTGGCCCCCAAAGTAGGGTTTTAAAGATACAGTTGGATGCCTATGTTCATAGTGGCATTATTCATAGCAACCAAAATGTAGAAATAACACAAATGTCCATTGACAGAAGAATAAACAAACAGTGGTAATCACATACAATAGATTATTTAGTCTTTCAAAGGAAGGAAATGCTACAACATAGGTGAACTTTGAGGGTATTATGCTAAGTAAAATAAGTCAGTCACAAGAAAATATATACTGCCTAGAGGCAGAAAGAAGAATGAGGGCTCCCAGGGTCTAGGAAGAGGGAAGATGGGGCGTTAATGTCTGAGGACAGAGTTTGAGTTTGGGATGATGAAAAAGTTCTGGAAATGGATGGTGGTTATGGTTCCGCACCAATGAGAACTTAATACTACAAAACTATTCACTTAGTAGA